AGGCGCTGCACTATCCGGCCTTCAACCGGTGCTCCGTCGCAATCGGCCAGGTGCGCTTGGCCGACGTGGGCGACGGCGACAACGACGTGCAGCAGTAGGTGCCATGCCCTCTTGCATGGCTGGTGCGGTGGACGACGTGCGGTGTGTTGGGTGCACGTCGACGAGCTATTCTCCGAGGAGTACTGCCGAGTGGACTTGAGGGGGACCAAGCGTGAACGCGGCAGGGGAGTGTCAACGGGAGTTGTATGTTGGCCCCGTCCACGCTTGGGCGGAGCCGACATCGTGGTCGGGTGTTAGGGGAGCAGCTGACCTGCAGCAGTGGGCGAGCTGGTCGACGAGGAGGTCGACCTGCACGGGGACCACTGCACGGGCGCCGACTTCGGGGTGGCGCCAACTTCGGGGAGGTCGACTTAAGCGTCGACCTGCGGAGGACGTCAACTTGGGAAGCCGACTTTGGTGGTCGGATGATGTGCTGGTCGACCTGCGGGTGGTTGACTGGACCGGTGGTCGACGAAGGAGGGGTCGACGTCGAGTAGCAGGACGTCGAGCAGTCAGGACGTCGAGCAGTCGGGCGTCGAGCAGTCGGGCGTCGAGTGACATGGTCGTCGACCGAGGGGCATGGTCGACCCGGTGAGGTCGACAACGAGGTGGTCGTCGACTTGGGAGGTCGACGGACACGTACGGGAGTTGCTGGTCGATGTGGTTGCCCGGTCGACCAGGTTACCTGGGTGACGAAGTGCTGCGGAGGAGTGCGACGGTCGCCCAGGCGAAGCTGGCGAGACCGACCTTGGTGGTGGTATCACGAGGTGGTCGTGGCAGATCAAAGGTAGCCGTCAGCCCGAGGCTGACGTGGTGTGTGTGTGCTGTGCAGGTGATGAGGCTCGGCATACCAATCATCTGCACGCACCTGCAAAGCGGGTGCACTGCTGGCACACCGTCGACCTGAAGCATTGGCAAGCTGTCGACTTTGCTCTGCTGGAGCGCGGTCGACCAAGTCGTGTTGGAATGCGGTCGACCATGCTGTGCTGGCAGTTGACCAACCTGAATGCTAGCTCTGATGTAGTCTTGCATTGCCAACTTCATTGTACCATTGTTGTGATCTTTTCTTAGTGAAACTCTTGCCAAATTGCCCCGTGAACTAGCAAGCAGTGTTAGCACTAGGAAAACGTCTAAGGACCAACGAACGCAGAGATCACACGAGCACACGTGCCTAGCCAGTAGTCTAGCTCCCGTTGTAGTAGTTATCTCCGCAGCAAGCTCCTGGACCAGGCAAGCTCCTCGACCAGGCAAACTCTTGGACCAGGCAAGCTCCTGGACCACCCAAGCTTCTTGACCAGGCAAACTCGTGGACCAGGCACGCTCCTGGACCAGGCAAGCTCCTGGAATAGGCAAGCCCCTAGACCAGGCAAGCTCCTGGACCAGGCAAGCTCTTGGACCACGCAAGCTCTTGGACCAGGCAAGCTCTTGGACCAGGCAAGCTAGTGGACTAGGCAAGCTTCTGGACCAGGCAAGCTCCTGGACCAGGCAAGCTCTTGGACTAGGCAAGCTCCTGGACCAGGCAAGCTTCTAGACCAGGCAAACTCGTGGACCAGGCACGCTCCTGGACTAGACAAGCTCCTGGACCAAGCAAGCTCCTGGACCAGGCAAGCTCTTGGACCAAGCAAGCTCGTGGACCAGGCAAGCTTCTGGACCAGGCAAATTCGTGGACCAGGCACGCTCCTGAACCACGCAAGTTCCTGGACTAGGCAAGCTCCTAGACCAGGCAAGCACCTGGACCAGGCAAGCTCCAGGACCACGCAAGCTCTTGGACCACGCAAGCTCTTGGACCAGGCAAGCTCCTGGACCAGGCAAGCTCATGAACCAGGCACGCTCCTAGACTAGGCAAGCTCCTGGACCAGGCAAGCTCCTGGACCAGGCAAGCTCCTAGACTAGGCAAGCTCTTGGACTAGGCACGCTCCTAGACCAGGCAAGCTCTTGGATCAGGCAGGCTTCTGGACAAAGCAAGCTCCTGGACTAGGCACACTCCTGGACCGGGCACGCTCCTGGACCAGGCAAGCTCCTAGACCAGGCAAGCTCTTGAACCAAGCAAGCTCCTAGACCAGGCACGCTCGTGGACGAGGCATGCTCGTGAACCAAGCAAGCTCCTAGACCAAGCACGCTCCTGGACCAGGCAAGCTCCTGGACAAGGCAAGCTCCGGGACCACGCATGCTCTTGTACCAGGCACGCTCCTAGACCAGGCAAGCTCTTGCACCATGCACGCTTCTGGACCAAGCAAGCTCCTGGACTAGGCAAGCTCCTGGACCAGGCACGCTCTAGGACCCGGCAAGCTCCTGGACCAGGCAAGCTCCTGAACCAGGCATGCTCCTGGATCAAGCAAGCTCCTGGACCACGCAAGCTCCTGGACCAGGCAAGCTCATGGTTAAGGCAAGCTCCTGGACCAGGGAAGCTCGTGGACTAGGCACGCTCTTAGACCACGCAAGCTCTTGGACCAGGCAGGCTCGTGGACCAGGCACGCTCAGGGACCAGGCAAGCTCCTGGACAAGGCAAGCTCCTGGACCAGGAAGCTCCTGGACCAGGCACGCTCGTGGACCAGGCGTGCTCCCGAACAAGGCAAGCTCCAGGACCACGCAAGCTCTTGGACCAGGCATGCTCCTGGACGAGGCAAGCTCTTGGACCAGGCAAGCTTGTGGACCAAGCAAGCTCCTGAACCAGGCAAGCTCATGGACCACGCAAGCTCCTGGACCAGGCAAGCTCTTGGACCTGGCAAGCTCTTGGACCAGGCAAGCTCCTGGACCAGGCAAGCTCTTGGACCAGGCACGCTCGTGGACGAGGCACGTTCCTGGACCAGGCAAGCTCTTGGACCAGGCTGGCTCGTGGACCAGGCAAGCTCTTGGACCAGGCAAGCTCCAGATCAGGCAAGCTCCTAGACCAGGCAAGCTCCTGGACCAGGCATGTTCCTGGACCAGGCAAGCTCCTTGACCAGGCACGTTCCTGGACCAGGCAAGTTCCTAGACCAGGCAAGCTCGTGGACCAGGCACGTTCATGGACCAGGCAAGCTCTTGGACCAGGCACGTTCCTGGACCAGGCAAGTTCCTGGACCAGGCAAGCTCCAGATCAGGCAAGCTCCTAGACCAGGCAAGCTCCTGGACCAGGCACGGTCGTGGACCAGGCACGCTCCTGTCCAGGTCCACGTCCACGACCATGTCCACGTCCACGTCCACGTTCACGTCCACGTCCACGACCATGTCCACTTCCACGTGCACGTGTACGTCCACGTCCATGTCCACGTCCACGTCCACGTTCACGTCCACGTCCATGTCCACGTCTTTGCCACGTTCACGTCCACGTCCACGACCATGTCCACGTCCACGTTCACGTCCACGTCCACGTCCACGTCCACGTCCATGTCCACGTCCACGTCCACGTCCACGTCCACGTCCACGTCCACGACCATGTCCACGTCCACGTCCACGTCCACGTCCACATCCATGTCCACGTCCAAGTCCTCCACGTCCACGACCACGTCCACGTCCACGTCAACCTCCACGTCCACGACCACGTCCACGTCCACGTCCACGTCCTCCACGTCCACGTCCACGTCCTCCACATCCACGTCCTCCACGTCCACGTCCACGTCCACGTCCACGTCTACGACCACGACCACATCCACGTCCATGTCCACATCCATGTCCAGGTCCACGTCCACGTCCACGTCCACGTCCATGTCCACGTCCACGTCCACGTCCACGTCCACGTCCACGTCCACGACCACGTCCACGACCACGACCATGTCCACGACCACGTCCACGACCATGTCTACGTCCACGTCCACGTCCACGACCATGTCCACGTCCGCGTCCACGTATCAATGTTCACATCCACGTCCACGTCCAGGTCCGCGTCCACGTATCAATGTTCACGTCCACGTCCACGACCACGTCCACGTCCACGTTCACGTCCACGTTCACGTTCACGTCCACGTGCACGTCCACGTCCACGTCCACGTTCACGTCCACGTCCACGTTCACGTCCACGTTCACGTTCACGTTCACGTTCACGTCCACGTCCACGTCCACGTTCACGTTCACGTCCACGTGCACGTCCACGTCCACGTCCACGTCCACGTCCACGTCCACGACCACGTCCACGTCCACGTCCACGTCCACATCCACGTCCACGTCCACGTCCACGACCACGTCCACGTCCACGTATCAATGTTTACGTCCACGTCCATGTCCACCACCACGTCCACGACCACGTCAACGCCCACGTCCACGTCCACGTCCACGTCCACGCCCACGTCAACGCCCACGTCCACGTCCACGTCCAAGTCCACGTCCATGTCCACGTCCACGTCCACGTCCACGTCCACGTCCATGTCCACGTCCACGTCCACGTCAACGTCCACGTCCACGTCCATGTGCACGTCCACGACCACGTCCACGACCACGACCACGTCCACGTCAAGGTCCACGACCATGTCTACGTCCACGTCCATGTCCACGACCATGTCCACGTCCACGTCCACGTCCACGTCCACGTCCACGTCCACGTATCAATGTTCACGTCCACGTCCACGTCCACGTCCGCGTCCACGTCCACGTCCATGTCCACGACCACGTCCACGTCCACGTCCACGTTCCCGTCCACGTTCACGTTCACGTCCACGTGCACGTCCACGTCCACGTTCACGTTCACGTCCACGTTCACGTCCACTTCCACGTTCACGTTCACGTCCACGTTCACGTCCACGTCCACGTTCACGTCCACGTTCTCGTCCACGTTCACGTCCACGTGCACGTCCACGTCCACGACCACGTCCACGTCCACGTCCACGACCACGTCCACGTCCGCGTCCACGTATCAATGTTCACGTCCACGTCCACGTCCACGTCCCCGTCCACGTTCACGTCCACGTCCACGTCCACGTCCGCGTCCACGTCCGCCTCCACGTCCACGTCCACGTCCCTGTCCACGTCCGCGTCCACGTCAGTCCACGTCAGTCCACGTCCAAGTCCTCCACGTCCAAGTCCTCCACGTCCACGACCACGTCCACGTCCACGTCCACGACCACGTCCACGACCACGTCCACGTCCACGACCACGTCCACGACCACGTCCACGTCCACGACCACGTCCACGACCACGTCCACGTCCACGTCCACGTCCATGTCCACGTCCACGTCCAAGTCCTCCACGTCCAAGTCCTCCACGTCCACGACCACGTCCATGACCACGTCCACGTCCACGTCCACGTCCACGTCCACGTCCAAGTCCTCCACGTCCAAGTCCTCCACGTCCATGACCACGTCCACGACCACGTCCACGTCCATGTCCACGTCCACGTCCACGACCACGTCCCCGTCCACGTCCACGACCACGTCCACGTCCACGTTCACGTCCATATCCACGTCCACGACCACGTCCACGTCCACGTCCATGTCCACGACCACGTCCACGTCCACGTCCACCTCCACGTCCAAGTCAACGACCACGTCAACGTCCACGTCTACGTCCATGTCCACGTCCACGTCCACGTCCATGTCCACGACCACGTTCACGTCCACGTCCACGTCCACGTCCATGTCCACGTCAACGTCCACGTCCACGTCCACGTCCACGTCCACGTCCATGTCCATGTCCATGTCCACGTCAACGTCCACGTCCACGTCCACGTCCACGTCCACGACCACGTTCACGTCCACGTCCACGTCCACGTCCACGACCATGACAATGTCCACGTCCACGTCCACGTCCACGTCCACGACAATGTCCACGTCAACGTCCACGTCCATGTCCACGTCCACGTCCACGTCCACGTCCACGTCCATGTCTACGTCCATGTCCACGTCCACGTCCATGTCCACGTCCACGTCCATGTCCATGTCCACGTCCACGTCCACGTCCATGTCCATGTCCACGTCCACGTCCACGTCCACGTCCAAGTCCACGTCCAAGTCCTCCACGTCCATGTCCACGTCCACGTCCACGTCAACGTCCACGTCCATGTCCATGTCGACGTCCACGTCCACGTCCACGTCTACGTCCACGTCCATGTCCACGTCCATGTCCACGTCCACGTCCACGTCCACGTCCATGTCCATGTGCACGTTCATGTCCACGTCCATGTCCACGTCCTTGTCCACGTCCACGTCCATGTCCACGTCCACGTCCATGTCCATGTCCACGTCCACGTCCACGTCCATGTTCATGTCCACGTCCACGTCCACGTCCAAGTCCACGTCCAAGTCCTCCACGTCCATGTCCACGTCCACGTCCACGTCCACGTCCACGTCCATGTCCACGTCTACGTCCACGTCCACGTCCACGTCCGTGTCCACGTCCATGTCGACGTCCACGTCCACGTCCACGTCCACGTCCACGTCCATGTCCACGTCCATGTCCACGTCCACGTCCACGTCCACGTCCATGTCCACGTCCATGTCCACGTCCACGTCCACCTCCACGTCCACGTCCACGTCCATGTCCACGTCCATGTCCAAGTCCATGTCCACGTCCATGTCCACGTCCATGTCCAAGTCCATGTCCACGTCCAAGTCCACGTCCATGTCCAAGTCCATGTCCACGTCCAAGTCCTCCACGTCCACGTCCACGTCCACGTCCATGTCCACATCCACGTCCATGTCCACGTCCACGTTCACATCAATCCACATCCAAATCCTCCACGTCCAAGTCCTCCACGTCCACGTCCACGTCCATGTCCATGTCCACGTCCACGTCCAGGTCCACGTCCACGTCTACGTCCATGTCCAGGAGCTTGCCTCGTCCAAGAGCTTGCCCTGTCCAAGAGCTTGCGAGGTCCAGGAGCTTGCCTGGTCTAGGAGCTCGCCTGGTCCAAGAGCTTGCCTGGTCGAGGAGCGTGCCTGGTTCAGGAGCTTGCCTTTTCCACGAGCGTGCCTGGTCCAGGAGCTTGCCTTGTCCAGGAGCTTTCTTGGTCCGTGAGCTTGCCTGGTCCAGGAGCTTGCGAGGTCCACGAGCTTGCCTGGTTCAAGAGCTTGCCTGGTCCAAGAGCTTGCGTGGTCCAGGAGCTTGCCTGGTCCAAGAGCTTGCCTGGTCTAGGAGCTTGCCTGGTCCAGGAGCTTGCCTGGTCTAGGATCTTGCCTGGTCCAAGAGCTTGGGTGGTCCACGAGCTTGCCTGGTCTAGGAGCTTGCCTGGTCTAGGAGCTTGCCTGGTCCTGGAGCGTGCCTAGTCTACGAGTTTGCCTGGTCCAGAAGCTTGCCTGGTCTAGGAGCTTGCATGGTCCAGGAGCGTGCCTGGTCCAGGTGCTTGCTTGGTCCAGGAGCTATCCTGGTCCAGGAGCTTGCCTGGTCCAGGAGCTTGCCTGTTCGAGGAGCGTGCCTGGTCCAAGAGCTTGCCTGGTCCAAGAGCGTGCATGGTCCACGAGCGTGCCTGGTCCATGAACTTGCCTGGTCCAGGAGCTTGCCTAGTCAAGGAGCTTGCCCCGTCAAGGAGCTTGCCTGGTCCAGGAGCTTGCATGGTTCAGGAGCTTGTCTGGTCTAGGAGCTTGCCTGGTCCAGGAGCTTGTCTGGTCCAGGTTTGTGCCTGGTCCACGAGTTTGCCTGGTCCAGAAGCTTGCCTGGTCCAGGAGCTTGCCTAGTCTAAGAGCTTGCATGGTCCAGGAGCGTGCCTGGTCCAAGAGCTTGCCTGGTCTATGAGCTATCCTGGTCCAGGAGCTTGCCTTGTCCAGGAGATTGCCTGGTCCAAGAGCTTGCCTGTTCTAGGAGCGTGCCTGGTCCAAGAGCTTGCCTAGTCCAAGAGCGTGCATGGTCCACGAGCGTGCCTGGTCCAGGAGCTTGCCTGGTCCAGGAGCTTGCCTGGTCAAGGAGCTTGCCTGGTCCGGGAGCTTGCCTGGTCCAGGAGCTTGCCTGGTCCACGAGACTGCCTGGTCCAAGAGCTTGCCTCGTCCAGGAGCGTGCACGGTCCACGAGCGTGCCTGGTCCAGGAGTTTGCCTGGTCCAGGAGCTTGCGTGGTCCAATAGCTTGCTTGGTCCAGAAGCCTGCCTGGTCCAAGAGCTTGCCTGGTCTAGGAGTGTGCCTGTTCCAAGAGCTTGCATGATCCAGGAGCTTGCGTGGTCGAGGAGCTTGCCTGGTCCAGGAGCTTGCCTGGTCCAGGAGCTTGCCTGGACCAAGAGCTTGCCTGGTCCAAGAGCTTGCGTGGTCCAGGAGCGTGCCTGGTCCAGGAGCTTGCCTGGTCTAGGAGCTTGCCTGGTCCACGAGCTTGCCTCGTCCAGGAGCGTGCCAGGTCCAGGAGTTTGCCTGGTCCAGAAGCTTGCCTGGTCCAGGAGCTTGCCTGGTCCAGGAGCTTGCCTGGTCCAGGAGCTTGCCTCTTCCACGAGCATTCCTGGTCGAGGAGCTTGCCTTGTCTAGGAGCTTTCTTGGTCCGTTAGCTTGCCTGGTACAGGAGCTTGCTTAGTCCAGGAGATTTCCTGGTCCAAGAGCTTGCCTGGTCCAGTAGCTTGCCTGGTCCAACAGCTTGCCTGGTCCAGGAGCTTGCGTGGTCCAATAGCTTGCTTGGTCCAGAGGTCCAAGAGCTTGCCAGGTCCACGAGCGTGCCTGGTCCAAGAGCTTGCGTGGTCCAGGAGCTTGCGTGGTCCAGGAGCTTGCCTGGTCCAAGAGCTTGCCTGGTCCAGGAGCTTTGCATGGTCCAAGAGCTTGCCTGGTCCAAGAGCTTACGTGGTCCAGGAGCTTGCCTGGTCAAGGAGCTTGCCTGGTCTAGGAGCTTGCCTGGTCCAGGAGCTTGCCTGGTCCTGGAGCGTGCCTAGTCTACGAGTTTGCCTGGTCCAGAAGCTTGCCTGGTCTAGGAGCTTGCATGGTCCAGGAGCGTGCCTGGTCCAGGTGCTTGCTTGGTCCAGGAGCTATCCTGGTCCAGGAGCTTGCCTGGTCCAGGAGCTTGCCTGTTCGAGGAGCGTGCCTGGTCCAAGAGCTTGCCTGGTCCAAGAGCGTGCATGGTCCACGAGCGTGCCTGGTCCATGAACTTGCCTGGTCCAGGAGCTTGCCTAGTCAAGGAGCTTGCCCCGTCAAGGAGCTTGCCTGGTCCTGGAGCTTGCATGGTTCAGGAGCTTGTGTGGTCTAGGAGCTTGCCTGGTCCAGGAGCTTGTCTGGTCCAGGTTTGTGCCTGGTCCACGAGTTTGCCTGGTCCAGAAGCTTGCCTGGTCCAGGAGCTTGCCTAGTCTAAGAGCTTGCATGGTTCAGGAGCGTGCCTGGTCCAAGAGCTTGCCTGGTCTATGAGCTATCCTGGTCCAGGAGCTTGCCTGGTCCAGGAGATTGCCTGGTCCAAGAGCTTGCCTGTTCTAGGAGCGTGCCTGGTCCAAGAGCTTGCCTAGTCCAAGAGCGTGCATGGTCCACGAGCGTGCCTGGTCCAGGAGCTTGCCTGGTCCAGGAGCTTGCCTGGTCAAGGAGCTTGCCTGGTCCGGGAGCTTGCCTGGTCCAGGAGCTTGCCTGGTCCACGAGACTGCCTGGTCCAAGAGCTTGCCTCGTCCAGGAGCGTGCACGGTCCACGAGCGTGCCTGGTCCAGGAGTTTGCGTGGTCCAGGAGCTTGCGTGGTCCAATAGCTTGCTTGGTCCAGAAGCCTGCCTGGTCCAAGAGCTTGCCTGGTCTAGGAGTGTGCCTGTTCCAAGAGCTTGCATGATCCAGGAGCTTGCGTGGTCGAGGAGCTTGCCTGGTCCAGGAGCTTGCCTGGACCAAGAGCTTGCCTGGTCCAAGAGCTTGCGTGGTCCAGGAGCGTGCCTGGTCCAGGAGCTTGCCTGGTCTAGGAGCTTGCCTGGTCCACGAGCTTGCCTCGTCCAGGAGCGTGCCAGGTCCAGGAGTTTGCCTGGTCCAGAAGCTTGCCTAGTCCAGGAGCTTGCCTGGTCCAGGAGCTTGCCTGGTCCAGGAGCTTGCCTCTTCCACGAGCATTCCTGGTCCAGGAGCTTGCCTTGTCTAGGAGCTTTCTTGGTCCGTTAGCTTGCCTGGTACAGGAGCTTGCTTAGTCCAGGAGATTTCCTGGTCCAAGAGCTTGCCTGGTCCAGTAGCTTGCCTGGTCCAACAGCTTGCCTGGTCCAGGAGCTTGCGTGGTCCAATAGCTTGCTTGGTCCAGAGGTCCAAGAGCTTGCCAGGTCCACGAGCGTGCCTGGTCCAAGAGCTTGCGTGGTCCAGGAGCTTGCGTGGTCCAGGAGCTTGCCTGGTCCAAGAGCTTGCCTGGTCCAGGAGCTTTGCATGGTCCAAGAGCTTGCCTGGTCCAAGAGCTTACGTGGTCCAGGAGCTTGCCTGGTCAAGGAGCTTGCCTGGTCTAGGAGCTTGCCTGGTCCAGGAGCTTGCCTGGTCCAGGAGCGTGCCTGATCCACGAGTTTGCCTGGTCCAGAAGCTTGCCTGGTCCAAGAGCTTGCGTGGTCCAGGAGCGTGCCTGGTCCAGGAGCTTGCCTGGTCTAGGAGCTTGCCTGGTCCACGAGCTTGCCTCGTCCAGGAGCGTGCCAGGTCCAGGAGTTTGCCTGGTCCAGAAGCTTGCCTGGTCCAGGAGCTTGCCTGGTCCAGGAGCTTGCCTGGTCCAGGAGCTTGCCTCTTCCACGAGCATTCCTGGTCGAGGAGCTTGCCTTGTCTAGGAGCTTTCTTGGTCCGTTAGCTTGCCTGGTACAGGAGCTTGCTTAGTCCAGGAGATTTCCTGGTCCAAGAGCTTGCCTGGTCCAGTAGCTTGCCTGGTCCAACAGCTTGCCTGGTCCAGGAGCTTGCGTGGTCCAATAGCTTGCTTGGTCCAGAGGTCCAAGAGCTTGCCAGGTCCACGAGCGTGCCTGGTCCAAGAGCTTGCGTGGTCCAGGAGCTTGCGTGGTCCAGGAGCTTGCCTGGTCCAAGAGCTTGCCTGGTCCAGGAGCTTTGCATGGTCCAAGAGCTTGCCTGGTCCAAGAGCTTACGTGGTCCAGGAGCTTGCCTGGTCAAGGAGCTTGCCTGGTCTAGGAGCTTGCCTGGTCCAGGAGCTTGCCTGGTCCTGGAGCGTGCCTAGTCTACGAGTTTGCCTGGTCCAGAAGCTTGCCTGGTCTAGGAGCTTGCATGGTCCAGGAGCGTGCCTGGTCCAGGTGCTTGCTTGGTCCAGGAGCTATCCTGGTCCAGGAGCTTGCCTGGTCCAGGAGCTTGCCTGTTCGAGGAGCGTGCCTGGTCCAAGAGCTTGCCTGGTCCAAGAGCGTGCATGGTCCACGAGCGTGCCTGGTCCATGAACTTGCCTGGTCCAGGAGCTTGCCTAGTCAAGGAGCTTGCCCCGTCAAGGAGCTTGCCAGGTCCTTGAGCTTGCATGGTTCAGGAGCTTGTCTGGTCTAGGAGCTTGCCTGGTCCAGGAGCTTGTCTGGTCCAGGTTCGTGCCTGGTCCACGAGTTTGCCTGGTCCAGAAGCTTGCCTGGTCCAGGAGCTTGCCTAGTCTAAGAGCTTGCATGGTTCAGGAGCGTGCCTGGTCCAAGAGCTTGCCTGGTCTATGAGCTATCCTGGTCCAGGAGCTTGCCTGGTCCAGGAGATTGCCTGGTCCAAGAGCTTGCCTGTTCTAGGAGCGTGCCTGGTCCAAGAGCTTGCCTAGTCCAAGAGCGTGCATGGTCCACGAGCGTGCCTGGTCCAGGAGCTTGCCTGGTCCAGGAGCTTGCCTGGTCAAGGAGCTTGCCTGGTCCGGGAGCTTGCCTGGTCCAGGAGCTTGCCTGGTCCACGAGACTGCCTGGTCCAAGAGCTTGCCTCGTCCAGGAGCGTGCACGGTCCACGAGCGTGCCTGGTCCAGGAGTTTGCGTGGTCCAGGAG